GGCCCGTCTCTCAGAGACCAACAGTTAACGACGACAACACTAACTGTAGATGTAGTGGGGTAACCTCTTATGAGGCAGATGGCCATCCGCCTCTGCAGCCGACGCAACGACCGCGTGTTGCGCCGGCTGGCCATCACGTGCGGTGCCCATATCGGGGCGCCGTATAAGGCCATAGACTGCACCACGCCCAGGTATAGGCGGCGCATCAGATCTCCCGGTCCCCCGAGGTCGGGCAACAGACGGCCCAAAGAGACCGCCGCCCTGTCCACTCTGGGGACGAGACGGTCGAGATGCGCATCGAAGCTCCAGCGGCTGTCGAGGATCAGTCCGAGATATTTCAACTCGGACTTCACCTCGACGCAAGCTTCTCCAACCCGGATCCATGATCTGGCTGGTGGCCGAGACCAAGGCCGTCCGTGAAACCAGACAGCCTCGGACTTCTCCGGGTCTATTTTCAGCCTCAGATCGCGGATCCTCGACGGCCTGGTCCTTTGCCCGCCTGATGGCCAGCTGCAGGGCGACCACCTTCTCCCGATATCGCCCGTACAGCTGGGTAGCTAGCACGTCGTCCGTTCGTCGTCGTCGACGGGCGCGAGCGTACTGGCGTTGCGCGCGGGCGCACTCGGTGCATAACTCCGCTATCGCGCGCGACCACCAGTACACCGCCTTCCTTGGAAAGACCCTGGCCCGGGGCATGGCGACGTCGCAAATCGACGTCAATGCACCCCGGAACCAATGGGCCTCCCCATTCCCGTCGACTGGCCCGGCCGGTGTTGCTGGCCAGGCCACGACGTGGGCTGCCGCCATCAGAGCGTCCTGGTCGAGGCGCTTCAGCGCCCACCGCGGTTGAGGCGAACCTTCATCGGCGGGGCGACGTCGGAGTGTCGATGGTGGGGCGGTGGAGAGGCCGAGAACTATGTATCTGTGGTCAGACAACGTCTCGACCTCTTCCGTCACCCTTCACCCCGTAATACGGCGCGCGGCCGGGGGCGTTGCCCACGAAAGGTCAACGATGGAACCCCCGTTATGCCGCACGCACGTATGGACCGAGCCCGTGTTCAGGAGACGGAGCTCCAGTCCCGCCGCCCAATCCAGCACCTCCCGGCCCCTCGAGTCAGTCCCGGGGGAACCCCAAGCCGTGGCCTTGGCATTGAAGTCCCCCAGGACCAGCACCGGACGGGGATGGCAGCGGGAGACGCATCTCCCTACCCCGTCCAGATACTGCTCAAACTCTTCGAGGGACCACCTTGGAGGTGCGTATATCGCCACAACCGCGGTGCCGCCCCAATCAACGGCCACGTATCCCAGGCCGCGCTCGATAAGCGAGCACGGCGGGGACCCCGGCCTCCCAGCCCAAATAATCGCGGCGGAGCCAATCGAGTCCCCCATCCAGTGTGGATGTTTGGGGACCCTGTGCGGCTCCGCCACGACTGCCAACCCGGCACCCCGCTCGGCCAGGCATTGAAACAGGAGATCCTGCGCTCTGACCGAGCAGTTCAGGTTGGCTTGTATTATCGGGCCCTGGGGCCCCATTACTCAGCCGTGTCCATCGCCGTCACGGCCGCGGATGCGGTGGCGTCTGGGACTTTAGTGGCCCCATCCGCCCCCGCGGGCGCGGCGGTAGCATCAGGCGGTGCCGCCTTTTCGTTGCTGGCCACGGTGGTCGCTGCCTTGGCCATCGTGGTTTCCCTCCCTTTATTATTCAACCTGGCAGACGGCCTTTGGCAGCCTCCCTTGCCTCGCCTCGCATTGGCAGGACACGCCCGGCTGCCGAGGCGGTGACCAGACGACTTGCCCGCGCCCGCACAACGCGGGCAATTGGGCGTGGCCGCACAGGCTGCCACCTTATGGTCCCGACTGCCGCATCTATAACAGCAGTCGGACCTATCCTCGGCAGCAGTGCACCGCTGCCTGGTGTGGCCAACACCAAGGCAGCGATAACACTGCAGAGGCCGGGCACTCAGGGCCTCCACGGCTGCCTGGGTCCAGCCGACAGTTATCCGGCCCGCGACCGCAACCCTGCGAGCGGCCGCGGCAGGACATCGGACCCAGAGGGTGCCCAATCCCGAGGGGGAAGACCGGATTTCGCCGGTATGAATGTCCCCCTCGCTACACCCGCCCACGCGGGCAACAGCCGCAGCGACCTCCGCTGGCGTGGTCGAATCGACCAGGCCGCTCACCCTAAGGTCGACTTTTTTGACCGGACGCGCTCCCTCCTGAATGACGCCAATTTGTCATCTATCAGGGCGCCTATTTGCGCCAGCAAATCTGCGGGCGCAGCCGCAGGTGGGGGCGAGGACTTTTCTCGCCCGGAGCGGTGGCGATCCCGGGCGCCGACGATCGGCGGCGATACTGAGCCCACTCCCGGGCCCGGCGGCGGAGGCATTGCGGCAGCAGCCGTTCTCGCCTCCACCACCTGACGGAGTCGGGCCACCTCCGCCCGCAGCTCCGTCATTTGCCCCCTGAGGATGGCATTTTCGACCTCCAGGACACGCGTGGCGTCGGTAGCTGACCTCACTATCAGCTCCGACACCCCCACCCTGCCGTTTAAGGCAGCCACCCTCAGGGCGCGAGCCAAGTTGCCCTTCAGCCCCTTCAAACTTTGAGATAACCTTGACATAACCTTGACATAACCTTGACATTGTACGAGGTCAATGCAATATCCTGCACACATTTCCGCGCATGAAGTGGATTTACAACTAAATGAGTGAGTTTCTTATTGATAATATTCTTCATATTTCTCTAACAAACATATCCCTTACGTCCTTTAACACGATTGTTATTTATTAAATTAGCTTTGCGAATCATTCGTTGAACTGTGTTCGGACACAGAATTATTTAAATTAAAATATCATTTACGTACTATGTTAATCTTCACTGTACACCTTGCTTAAAAATTTCATATGT